TAGAAACAGCCCAAAAAAAGCAATATTAAATAGTAAATAGGGTCACTTTAAATGCATAATATTTGATACGTAGTTCACAACAATTAATTACATAGTATTTCTAAAATACAATTCTAAATGCTATTCAGAAGATGATTAAAGGACTGTATTAATTTGTGGTTAAAGAATAAGACAACGTGAAATAACTTATAAAATTCTTAAACACACTGCCATGGGGCTAAAGTATGTATAAATACCAATTCATTGACTTCACTATATAGAATTCATGTCAACTCAAGCAACTATATTTATATATTTAATTGGTTTTACAAATTCTTTTTGGAATATAGCCACTATTCCATAAAAAACATTTCATTTTAACTGGGTCCTTTCATTCCCTGGTGGTTCCTTAGCAAATCCTTCAATACTAGCTATTCCAAACATTCTCTATTCCCTCAATTGCCATCTGCTCCTTCTTGCCATAAGACCTTACTAACTACTTTACTGAGAAAGCAGAAAACATCTAGTGAAAACTCCATCTTCCTGGCATCACATCCCCAAATGAAAACATCTATGGATGTTCTCATCCATGCTCAGTCCCCTAACACTACCACTGTTATTGTTGTTTCTTCCTATATCCTCCATAATCTTAACTTTCCTATTATTTCAGTAACCTTTACAATACCCTTTGTAGAGACTTCAAATATATATAGATCTTCCCAATACTGAGGGAAGAACTAATTCCTTCTCTTGACTCTGTTGTCACTTCAAAACCAGTTACATTTTTCTCACTGTTTGCCACCAACTTTTGAGGTCCTATAATATACTTCCTTAGTTTAACATACCCATAGACTAGTATTCTTTGCCAAATTATTTTAAATAATTTAAAGGTCAGGCTTGCCCTATAAAATAAAATTTTAATAACCCTCTTCCTTTAAGTTTTTTAAGTTAATCTTTATTTATTGATTCTTAGAGAGAGAGGAAAGGGGGAGAGAGAGAAATGTCAGTTTGTTGTTTCCTTTATTTATGCATTCATTGGCTGATTCTTGTATGTGCCCTGACCTGGGATCAAACCCACAATCTTGGCATATTAGAACAATGCTTTAACTAACTGAGCTACCTAGCCAGGGCCTTAAAATGAATTCTTGATTTCCACAAAACTATACCATCTTGATTATCTTCTTGCTCTTCAAATATCTCCTTCATGGACCCCACATCATGGCCATTGGCAGAGACTCAGTTCATGACCCTTTACTCCCCTCTTCCTTGGAGATTTTTCTGAAAGCTTTTGATGATGGAAACGGTAAAAAATAAATAAAATAAAATAAATTCCAACAGGAAGGAATAAGAACAAAAATATCTAAGTTAAAGACTGGTAAAATAATTCTGCAGAGAGTGACCAAGACCTCATGAACATTACAAGTAGGAAAGGGAGAGAAGACAGATACTACCAAAAAAGAACTCTTAGTAGTATGTTTGATATGGGCGAAGAAATTATACATAACACCAAATGTATAGTAAGCTGCCATTTGGGGTATCTACTCAATATACATACCCAGTGACACTGAGACCTGTCCTTTCACACTTAGGGGTATATTTCCCATCATGTTTCTAGATGCCGTATATTGTATTGGATAAAGGATCTCCAGGAAAAACATAGAAAAAATCCTAAAAAGTATTGTGTAGAGGGGTGCACACAAATGAAAATAGTAGAGAAAAGATAAGAAAAATAGAGGATAGATCCAGGAGGTCCTATATCTCACTAATAGTAAAGGCCATATAATAGTAAAAGAGGAATTCTTTTCTTGTGAATATACTGGGTAAGAAAATTTATAAAACTTCAGATCCATGTGTTTTCAGATTTAAAGAGCCCCACCAAGGGACAGCACAATTAATGAAAAGACTATAATTAACTATAAAATAAGTTTCACAATACAGATAAAACAAAAGTTCCAAGAGAGATGGGGGAAAGGTAGAATAAGGAGGAACACACACACACACAAAGGATCAGAAATTAGAAAGGCATCTATTTCTGAACAAGAACACTGGAAGCTAAAAAACCACAAAGCAATGATGTTCAAATTAAGAGAAAGTAATCTCCAATCTAGTATTCCATATTCAACCAAACCATCTATTAACTAAAGGGTTAAATAAGGCTTAAATAAAGATATTTTCAAACATTTGATATCTCAAAAAGTTGACCTTCTGTGTATTCTTACTCAGAAAGCTTCTAAAGGATATGCTTAACACGAGCAAGGCAATAAACCAAGGAAGAGTGAGACGTGATCCTAACTAGGAGAAAAACAAAGGAAATTAATGAAATGATGTTAGAGAAATCTCAGAAACACAGTCATGCTGGGGGCCTGTTAAGTGGGTCAGAATGAAGCAGAAAGATAGCACAAGAAGGGATATGGAAGAAAATGGGAAAAAATGAAACTTAGAGATCATGTGATGTGTCTGACAATGTTGGCAAGAGTCTTACAGTTCTGTTAGGAAAGGCTGAGGCTGCATTAATAAATGCACAGGAAAACTAAACAAATTGAAGAAAAAGAGAAAATAATTATTAGCTTCAGAAAAACAAGTTGTGTAAGAAAGGAAAAGCAAATATAGTATACTATGACTTAGATAAGAGCAGTATTTGCAGTCATAATTATTGTGGTCTGAATGTGTCCTTCCAAACTTCACTGGTTAAAACCTAATCCCCATGGAGATGGAATTAGAAGGTAGGACCTTTGGGACATGATGTCAGAGTAATCATGAACGGAATTAGTGCTCTGATAAAAGAGGACTCAGAGAGATCTTTCCCTTCCACCATGTGAGGATACAATCAAAAACCTACAACCAAGAGAAGAGGGCCCTCACCTGGCTATACTGACACCTTGATCTCTGACTTCTGTTGTTTACATTGGGACCCAGTCAGTGATTTTTTTTTATAACAGCCCAAAGACTCAAACAAATATATGTACAACCATGTACAATAGCATTATTCACAATATCCAAAAGATGGAAGCAACCCAAGTATCCATTGACAGTTGAATGGATAAACAAAATGTGGTGTATACAAACAATGGAAATATTATTTAGCCTTAAAAAGGAGATTTTGATACATACTACACCCTGGCTGAATGTTGAGGACATTAAGTAAAATAAGCCATCACAAAAGGACAAATATTATATGAATACAGTTTTTAATGTACCTAGAGTAGTCAGGTTCTTAGAAATAAAAAGTAGAATGGTGATTGCCAGGGGTTGGAGGGAGGGGGAAATGGGGTGTTACTGTTTAATGAGTACACAGTTTCAGTTTGGAAAGATGAAAAGTTCTGGAGTGGATGGTAATGGTTGCATTTAATGTGAATATACTTAATACCATTTAAAAATGGTTAAAATGGTAAATTTTGTTATGCATATTCTACCACAAAAAAAAAAAAAGCTAAGAATGTAAAATGGTGTAATTGCTTTGGAAAATAATAGGCAGTTCCTCAAAATATTAAACATAGAGTTACCTTATGGTCTGCAATTCTATTCTTAGGTATATATCCAAGAGAAATGAAAGCAAATGTCCACACAAAAACCTGCACATTAATGTTTAGAGTAACATTATCATAGTAGCCAAAAAAGGAAATAACCAAAATGTCTATCAACTGATGAATAAATAAGAAAATGTGGTATAGCCATACAGTGAAATATTATTCAGCTATAAAAAAGAATAAAGTACAGATTCATGCTAAAACATGGATGAGACTTAAAACACATAAAATGTGTCTAAAACACAGAAAATGTGATTCTACACACATAAAATATTCAGACAGCAAATCTATAGAGATAGAAAGTAGATCAGCGGTTGCTCGGAGCTGGCAGGGCTTGGGGTTGGGGAGTGAATGCTAATGGCCATGGGTTTCTTTTTGAGGTAATGAAAATGTTCAAAAATTGATTGTTGTGATGACTACACAACTCCGAATATATTAAAAATCATTAAATTGTATACTTTAGAAGGATGAATTTTATAGCATGTGAATTATGGCTCAATAAACCTGTTTTTAAAACAAGTTATAGAAGAGAAAAATAACTAGATTTTTCCACTTTAAGATGAACAAGATAAGAGACGGAAAGTGGAGGAAAAGTGGGAGCACCAGATGAAATGCCTTCCACATAGTGCTGAAAGGCACGGACTCAGTTGGGTCCCTTGGCCAGTCATTTGGTGGCACCACTAGATCAGAATTGGTTGGTTGTTCTTGAGTCAGAGAGAAAAGAAGAAAAAAACAAAGAAAAAGCTAAGACAGTTAAGGAGCTAGAATAGTCCTAGTAAGGAGCTAGAATGTTCAGTAAAAATTAACACTCACAATGCATTACCAATTTTATATAAAATGTTATTTTAATTTGTACTTCCACTCAATTAAAAAGTGTAATTGTAAAACATTTTTTAAAAAACTGTAAAACATGATATTTGTGTTCTGGTAAGTGCTATCAAAGATAAACATTAATGATTCAAGTGGTGAATCAATGTTAACAGACAATGCTTAAAAACTGTTTGCTTTCATCTCCATGGGCATGTGTGTAAGTAGTTATTGCATATAAACAAGAGCTAATATTTCTAAATCAACCTAAACTTAGAATAACTAAGTACATAAATTTATGTAAAAATCACAGTTCACATAAATTTAACAGTGTATCATCATCTTGAGAGACTATCATTACTGCCAGGATTTCTCCCCTTTTATATAAGGACTGCCCTATAGTTAGTTATATTCTCTCACAATGTAAGAGGCTTCCACAATGGTTCATATCTCCTGGCTCAATAATTATTTTTAAGGATTAAAAAAAAAGTAGTCACAAATTTCCTTGACTGTGGGTACAACAGTATGTTCTAGTATGCTGTGACCAAGTTTCCAACATAAAAAGATTTTGAGATTCTATCAGTTTAGTACTTAATATTGTAATTGTTATAATCACTATTACTAGAAATACTATCAGAAAATCTTTTAATAAAATATTGTTAGAAAGATACTGATTTTGCAGATTACCTCGCCTGCTGAATCAGGATGATTAGTCTTGATTTCATATTCCAGCCTGTATTGAATGTAATCCAGGTCAGAGTCAGCTTTCTGGAACTAAAAATCAGCATAAATCATTATTTTGTGAACCAAAAGACATATTAATAAACATGACACTGCAACTACTCTTTCTTTTCTCTTTATATTTTTTAGTATTTTAATAATGTGATATATAACTCATTTTGAAAACAGGAAATTAAAAAAATATAAAAAACCTCCATGGTCTATAATACCCGGGCTCTATTAAAATTTTTAAAACTAGTTAGCATTTTGAAAATCATTTCTCTATACATCTGTTAGATTTTGAGCTAAAATTAAGATACCAAGAAGCCACTGTCATATATTAATATAAGAACTAACAATGTCTTCAAGAGTTCCCTTGGGTCACTGACACATTCATCACCTAGACAGTGGTTTTCTATCCCTGGTACGTGGTTTCAAGTTAAAACACAGAACAAATTTATTTTCATGGATATTTAGTTTCCATTATCTGCAACCCCAAATACCAAAAAACTACAGGTATATGCCACACAGACCAAAGTTAGAGAATTTAAGAGTCACAAATTATACAAGGAAAGCTACATATACCACAGAAGTAGCAGTCTGAATAACCTCAATTTATTAAACCAAGGCCCTAGCATAGACCCTTTTTATCTGCAGTAAACCTCTAAGGGAAAAAAAGAGGAAATCTGCTACAGGCCTAAAATATATATGTGTGTAATACAGAAAAGCTGGAAAGGATATCAAACACAGTGTTTGAAGTGGTTTATGTCTAAATGTGATTAATCTATAAATTATTCTGAACTTTTGGAAATTGCTCATCTTTTACATGATCTTAAAGCAGGTACTGCCTTGACTTTATCAGAGAAACATCCGAGTTTATTATAGAAAGCAAAACATGATTTCCTCAGAGAAATTGCCTCCTCCTAACTTACAACCTAGGAGGCTGTTCTGGGAGACAGTTCAGACCTTACAATGAACCTAAGCTCTGAACTAAAGATTGGTTCTTGAAATTTTGAACCCTTGGTAGAAAGAGTAAAAACAAAAACAAGCAAACAAAAACCCCCACACAACTGTAAAAGTAGTTCTCAGGTTTAATGAGAAACAGTCTACAGATATTTTCATTTCACAAAAGGTAAATCAAGGACTCTACTTTGGAATATAGAGTAAGACAAAATGGCTCTCAGAAGTTAAAATGCTTCAAAATCTGTCATCATTGAACAGAATTTCAGAAAGAGATATATTATACTTCCATCATGAATTTCTCTCACTTGTTGACCTACATTTGAATGGAAAACTTTGCAATTACCAAAATTCTCTTTATAACCAAAAACTTTTTGAGTAGAAATAAAAGGAAAGAGAAAGCCAGTTTTGTTTTTTCTTAATTTTCCAAAACTCTCTAACAACAGAGAGTTACTGTGAGCTAGAAAAACAAATATAGACATTCTTAATTTTTAAATGTATTTAAAATGTTTTCCAAAAGTAAAGGATTTTCATTTGTCTTATATACTTGTTAGATTAGATGCCATAATTAAATTAATTGAATATACTAATGACAATGAATATACTAATAATTACTATATATGTATGGGTATAGACAAAGAAACTCCTGCTGGCATAATTCCCCATTAGAATATGCTAGGGAATTACCTTTTCCTTTCTATAAACAGAGCGCACTAACCTACATACATGTGGGTGGAGAATACGGGGAGGGGGATGGAGGAGAGGGTAAACCAAATTAAGCAAAGACTCTAAGCATTCAAGTCCTGGTCTGTTTTAATTATTGAAATAGACCACAATTTCATAGCTTTATGTATATTTCAAGATCTTATATGACATTCTAAAGCATTATTTTAAATAAAAGTTTCAAAACTTAAATTACCACAGAGTTCTTAAGATTATGGAATTTGTGGCTTCAGGGTTCCCTTAAAGCAATCTCTATCCTAGAAGCCCTTAACTTATTTATGAACCAGTAAAAAGCCTATGTATGTTTTTTAACTTGATATTTTAGTTCTGCTTAAAGGTTAACTGGCATAATCCCATAGTCCATTTAAAATGTCTTTTTTAGACAGTGGTGTCAGCTATGGCTTTCTGTAATACCTGGAAGTCCACAATGTATTAAAATCATCAAACAGTAACTAAGAGAAGTGGTTCCTGCTTTTGAGAAACTTATATTTTAATAAGATATGACAGAGCCCTAGTTGGTATGGCTCAGTTAGTTGGGTGTCCTACCACAAAGCAAAAGGTTGCTGGTTCTATGCGGGTTCAATCCTTGGTCAGGCTGTGTAAAACAACTGATCAATGTTTCTCTCACACACCAAAGTTTCTCTCCCTTTTTTTCTCCCTCCCTTCCCCTTTAAAAATAAATAAATAAAATATTTTAAAAAGAAGATATGACAGAATGTGCTTTCTATCAATGGTTTGGTGGAGTCAGCTAAATTTTCAAATTTGCAAGCCAATTGTTAAACACAGTTATCACTAAGAATTAAATTATGTAAATTTACAATTAATTAAAAAATATATACTCAAAAATCATAACTTCCTAGTTATTTTACTATATTTTACTATTATCCATGCTCTTGAGGTCTATCATACCTGTATAGAGGAAATACTATTATCACGTGCCGACATACATGTCTTCCCAACTCCACTTAAATGACATCAGAAATATTTACACAGGAAAATTGGCAAATGCTAAAAGTCAGGGCTTTATACCACTGCTTTCAATTTTTTTTTTTAATTCCCATGCCCCTTTTAGCCCTTGGCCAGATGGCTCCATTGGTTGGAGTGTCGTCCCGTACACCAAAAGGTTGTGGGTTCGAACCCCAGTGTGTAGGAGGCAACTGATTGATGTCTCTCTCTGTCTCTGTCTCTCTCCCTTCTTTCCTCCCTCTCTATCTCTCAAAAAAAAAAAAAATCCACAGTCAATAAACACATCCTAGGGTGAGGATTAAAAAAAAAATTCCCACTCCCCTTTTAAGTAATATGTGCACATATTCAATTGCAAAATATTTGAGAGAATAAATAGAATTATAAACAGGCTTTCAAAGACATAAAATTCAAAAACTTAAAAGTAGAATTACCATATGACCCAGCAATTCTATTTCTGGGTATACATCCAAAAGAATTGAATGCAGGGACACAAACAGTATTTGTATACCCGTTTATAGGCATATTATTCATAATAGCCAAAAAGTATAAGCAACATGTGTCCATTAACAGATGAGTAGACAAAATGTGGTACATACATACAATGGAATATTCAGCCTTAAAAAGGAAGAAAATTCTGATACACGCTACATCATGGATAAACAATGAGGATATTATGCTAAGTGAAATAACCCAGTCACAAAGGACAAATATTATGAGTCCATTTATATGAGTACCTAGAGTAGTACAATTCATAGAGACAGAAAGTAGAATGATGGTCACTACGTATTGGGGTGAAGGGAGAATGGGGAGTTATTGTTAAACGGGTTCAGAGTTTCAGTTTGGAGGGATGAAGTTCTGGAGATGGATGGTGGTGGTTGCACAGCAATGTAAATATACTTAATCCCACTAAACTACACACTTAAAATGGTTAAAATGGTAAATTTTATGTTATATGTATTTTATCACAAATAACATTTTTTTAAGACAGGAAAAACAGCTTGAACATAGAGTGTCATCATCTATAAAGAACTGAACAAAGTATTTTGTGATAATACTTTGAGTATAGGTGAATACTTTGAATATTTTGTGAATATAGGAAAAGTATTCACTTATTAATGAACTCAGTAGGCTAGGGCACAAGCAAAGGACAAAAAAGGAAAAGAGGATACCAGTGAAATGTTTAGAAACAGAAAAACAATCGATTCTCCGATCTGAACCCTTCATCTTATAAATGAAGAAATAGTCTGTGACTTGCCTCCAATTCTATTTTCATTACTCTATTTTTTATGTTGTTAAACCAAATTTACACAAAATATTAAGGCCAATTAAAGTCACAAAGATGGGGGTAGAGAATGCAAAGACTTTACCCAAAATTATGTTTAAACAGTTTCTTTTCTATTTTAAATCTAATATCGCTGAAGTTAGTCTATTAAAAATTCCCTCTGAACACAATCTGGCAGTCTGGTACAGAAAAAAGAAAATAAAAGGATTGAGATATGTAGCAGAAGTTCCAGCCATAACCAGCTATGTGGCCTTAAGTAAGTCTTCCATCTCTCTGCATCTCTCCTTTTATTTATTTTTTATCCTCACCTGAGGACATTTTTGTTTCATTCCTTTTTTTAGAGAGAGAAACATCAATTGGTTGCCTTCCTAGATGCACGCCGACCGGGGATCGAACCAGCAGACTGGGTATGTGCCCTGACAGGAATCGAATCTGCTACCTTTTGGTGTACGGCAGGATGCTCGAACCAGCTGAGCCTCACTGGCCAAGGCTGGTTCTCTCCTTTTAAATGAAAGAGTTGGAAATTCAAGATCCTTTTCAGCACTGAAATTCTATCATTTCATTATACAGGATGGGACAAAATAGGTTTACAGTTGTTTATATGGAAAATAATACAATAACTAATAAACAATAATACAGGAACAAACTGTGTTTTGTGTACTCACAACTGTAATCCTCATTTTGCCCCCACCCTGTATTACAAATAAACCTACGTTTAATTTATCAAAATATTAAAATTTAGAAAAGATGTTTCCTTCTAATATATTAAAATTTGATATCTGAGTGACAGATTTTAATGTTTTATATTGAAAACTAGCTTCTACTTGTTTTCTTCCTGAACAAAGATGGCTGTTGCTTCAGTTTCAGCTACCTAGTTTCTGCAGCCTGCCTATTGTTCTTCCCAAACACCAAAACCCTACAAGCAATGTTGCACTTCTCAGAGCTATGTGTCAGAAGAGACAATATCGATTGGGTTCTAGGATCTGGTGATAAATAGGAAATTTTTTAGTTACAGGTAGGAAATTTACTGACCAAGTACGATAGTCTCCAAAACTCATTAGTGTCCGATCAGTGAAACAGAGGGATAATGACAAACTTCATTCACAGCCCTCCTCACTAATAAACTA